GTCCACATCGAGCGCACATCCAAACCCTTGGTTGCAACACTTCCACATGGGTACATGGGTGGCTTCGGCCTCCGCCCTGTGAGACCTCGCCATGCACCCGCAACGCCAACGCTGCTTCCCGCTTCGACATCGCGAAGAAAAACAAACGTGAAACGTGGGACGGAACCGTCGGCGCCCGCTTCCAGCCTTCCACGCGGGACCGGGGTTGGCCCACGCACCACCAACGTTTCTCCGCGTCCGAATCGAGCGAGAAACGCACAGGGTCCTACGTGGACTCAGAAAGAAAAAAGAAGAAAGGACTTGGAAGAGGAAGGGTGGAGCAGCCGAACATGCCCGCCTCTGATGATCCTTGGTACCCGCGAGAGAACCTCGTAAGTCGAAATGACACGCGGGAGCCACGGCGGCGGCGACAACGTCAATCAATCAGTGGCTATACGCCCGCGTCAAGCGCATCACGAGGTCTCCGTCACTCTCCGTCCCATCTGCGAACCCATCATGGCCCACAAGTGGAATTGCGCCTCGCTGCGAATCCCAGATTGACGCCGGGTAGCCACGCCGAGCCACTCTACAGCCGCACGGGCACCACGCCCATCACGAATCGTGATCAAGCCACCCACCACCACCCTCGGTGCATGGCTACACCCGACCGGCGCCAGGCCCGGTGGCCACAGACGAATCAGAGGGGCTCCGGCAGGCATGGAGGCTGCAGCGGATCTGCGAGCTAAATCACCAGAAGCGGCAGTAGCAGCAGCAGCAGCCCGTTGTGCGCCCGGTATGAGAATTTGGAATTCGAATCAGTTGACTTCATTGCGACTGCGCTGCGCGTCTTAAGTTCTGCCTTTACATGATTAATAGAGATGTGTGTGCGTGCGGTATGGATGGATGATGGACAGAGCATATACAAGATGGATAGCGAGAGGAGAATATAATCGAGAGGAACAGTCCAAAAAGACTACATACAGAGAAGAGGAGAGAAGATATGTTCTAGATAACCTGCTGGGCCTCAACGTCCCATCCCGTATCGTGAGCTTCTCCGGATCCAGCTGGGGCGTGATCGCGCTTCTCCCTGTTGAGCACGGACAGTGACGACCGAGGGAAATCTCCATCACGATCAGGGCTCTCATCACTCGCCGACGGTAAAGTCGCGAGAGCGCTGCTGCCACTGTCGCTGCCCTCCTGCCACTCAGAATCCCCATCGTCATCCTCGAACAGTGGCGCTGAAGGAAGTTGATCGTCATCTTCCAGGGGTGGTGCGCTCGGAGTGGGGAAAGAGATAGGCCGTGAGCTTGGCCCTGCTTCCTGCTGAATGCCGTACGTCGAAAATCTGGGCCTCGTTGCACATGGAATCACGTCATCCATCGTAGCGAATGCCCTCTCCATTGCCAGCTTCTCTTCGCGTGCATTGGTCCAATCCAAAGCCAATGGGGGCGCGGGAAGACCTAAATCCGATTCCGGTGAAGGCGACGGCCAGGGTGGACAGTGCTCCAGATCGGGCAGAGGCAGCTCGTCTTCTTCGAGAACAAGTAACTCTCGATGTGGCGAGTGAGTATCTGGGCTCGACGCTTCTTCTTGTAGCCGCGCCAGTACAGTTTTGTCGTCCGTAGCAACATGTGCAATCGCCACCTCCGGTGGTCGTTCTTCAGCGGATAGTGAATAGGGTGGGAACACTTCCTCTCCAGGATCAGCGTCCATCTCCAATCGCAGTCCGAGATCTCGGTTCATGGAGCTCGAAGCCTGTGAGAGCGAAGATGATGGCTCTTGCGAGCGCAGCGGTAGTCGGCTTGTAGAGGAAAGATAGGCAGGAGGTCCGACGGAAGTTCTCCTTGGCAGAGGTGATATTGACCTCAAAGAAGAAGAGGATGACGAGAGAACAGATACAGGTGACGGGGGTGTGGGCTGTTCAGAGGACGTGATATCGACGAAGGTCTCAACACTTGTGCGAGGAGAAGATGCCGAGGAAACGGATGGAGATGGTCGCCGAGAATCTGTCGAGAATGCCGGATGGTTGAGATGACGAGGCCGTCCTCGGCGCTGTCTCGCCAGGTAGCGCACGTTGTCTCGCCATCGCTTCGTTGCCCGTGCTGTCCATCTTGTCGCCGAGGATTTGGCGCCCTCGTCGGCTAGCGAGGCTAGCGTTTCCGAACTCCTTGATCTCTGATGTACGAGCATCGACGACTCCGCTGCGGAAATCTGGCCCCTCAACGACCGCGAGGATTTGCGTTTCTCGACGTCAGTATTCTTTCTTTTGAATCGAGGGCCACGCGTGAGATGCGAGTGCCCCAAAGCGATCACGATCAGAAAAGCGAGAATGAGGCTGAGCGACACGGTGATGCCGGTGCGGACTGGGTTTGAGATCTTCTCGCTCACCCAGCCGGAGGGCACAGTGTCCAAAATATCATCCTCCGAAGGTGCCTGGGTGGAGGACGCTGTCGGAGGGCACAACTGAAAACGGCATCAGGTATCAATAGGGATGTCGCCAAAAGCAGCACGCACCCCCCCACTCTCGCACACTGTGCTTCCCACGAGTGTAAACGAATCCAGCCGCCTCCACAGTCCATCTGAACCCGGGGAGTATTGAGGGGGCACCCTGCGCCCGCTGTGTTGCGAATGGTGCGTTGGAGTCGGACGCTCAGCGGCGTTAGAAACGGCTTGTAAGGAGGGCCCAGCCACGCTGTCGACAGCGACAAGCTCGTCCAGCGGGAAGGCCCTCGAGTCGGGTGTGAGTGCTGCAACGAGCGCCATGACAGGCCAGCGCCTGTCGGGCGTCGCCATCGCTCGCGTAACGGGCATCGCGACCAGTACGGATGCCACCCGCACAGAAATTTTCCTGCAGTCCTCGCACGGCCTCAACTACTCCGGTACACGTCCGTTGTAGCTGCAATTGCGCTGGTGAATTTGCGGGGTAGACGGTGCCAAGCGAGCCAAGGGCAGGCGCTGAGTAGAGGAGAGAGACGATTGGGGGGTGAGTAAGGACAAGCACTTGTCAACATCAATTCCCCGTCGGGTCTTTATCCAATCGAGCTTATTTTTAGCTAGTTTATTTTTGGAACTGGCGTTTGAAAGTAGTCTACGGCAAGGAAGCTCTCCGAAAGATCACAGCCTAATGGGTAACAGATGAGGATGTAATTTGCTCATCCTATAAGAGCAAGAGAAGGCGACCAACTGAGACTCACGACATGCATCAAACAGGGGTCAAAGTAACTGGGCATTTTCTGATGCACAGAGTAGAGGCGAGCAAACAAGCTACCTGGATCTCTAATACTCGTCCAAGTTCTAGCAGAAGGTTATGAGAGATTAAAAAAAACCTCGCGCCGTTACTGGCCGTCGGGTTGCCGATGATCTTAAACAAGGATAAAGCCTGGCATAACACGACTGGTGACAAGAATTGAGAAGCTCGACCCTTTCGGCCGGAGGCGGATGTTGAGATGGATACTTTGGTCTCACGAACGTTGGAGCAGAGCTATCTGGAATGGACTGAGAAGAAGGTCTTCGATACACACAATGCAGGAAGCGTTTCAAGCCTGTAGAGTACTGATAACAAGGCACACAGATTGGCTCCGGAGCCCGGAACATGGAAACAGTAGGACTAGAATAGATCTAGCCAGCTTTATATCAGGCTTACGAATCACGAATCGGTTCATCCATCCGAAGCACAAATCATCCTCGCAGCATCAGCGCGCAGCAAACACGCTTTGGAGGAAGTCGCAGAACTGGATTCAGTAGACAAGCGTTCCTATATGGGCCCTGATAAGCAGAAAAGCAGGGTGATGATGTGCTGATTGATGTGGACGAAGCACACGGCAACTTGCGGAGAGGAAGGAGAGCAAGACACATGCCCGATGTCGGCAAGTGGAGGCACATGAGCCACCTTGATGCACGCCCATTCCCGCACACGGAATATCGGTCGACGTTCATGGTGGCGTAAAGCTTCGTCTGCAGTTCCTTAGGCAGAGATATCGCCCATTGTGGAAACCCACCGGCCCGAGCCTCAGACGATACAATTGGTCGGTGCGCGGGAAGAAAGCCCAAAGATAGTGTAGAACACATGCTTGCGCAGTCCACATCGGGGACGAGGCAAGACAGAGTCCGGGAGTTCCCGCAGATGTATCACAAACCGTACATCCTGGGAAAGATGCAGACTGGACCCGAAGCGTGACTTATGAGAGAGAAATTCTTGACCGGGAATAGGGAATACGATTTGGCGTTATGCGGGAGCAAGCCGTTGCGGTGCATGAATAGATTCGTTGGCGCAGATTGAGTTTGAACACCGACCATGAGACCCCCAGGCAGGTCGTACTCACAGGGCCATGATTCCGGGAAACAGCATGGTCACCGATACTTGGCAAACTGAATGTGGGAGCCATTGCGAGTGTGCACAAGTAGTTCCGAGTACGTGCAATGCGACAAAAGATTCCAGTGGAACGTCGTCGGCCGAACGAGTCGTGTTGAGTAGATGACAGCAGATTGAAGGATTGATTTCGCTTGGAGATGGGCAGCACAGCGCATATGCTCTGAATGTGGAGCGAGATTGCCTCCTTTGAGCGTCGGTCTCTTGTGTGAGTACAGTGTGGGAGGAGAAACTCGATAACAATGATCATTTGAGCTTACCTAAGCCGCGTCCTTGATGTGATCGCGCACGACGACCATGTCCAATGCATCCTCTTCGCCCGACATCTTCGCCGACAATCCATACGCGAACAACCCCAGTCTCACGCCTGCCGAGTCGGAAGTTCTGTGGGAGTATGCGAAACTGGCACAACATCTACGTATGGTGCGCATCACAGGCTGACCATTCTCGCGCCTTCAACAACGCATCGCACGTCCTGCAGCTGAAAGTCAAGACGAGATCTCTAACGGAACAACCGGACGCCTTACTGCTGGAACGCCTGCGGCAAGTTGAGAAGAAGATGGGTCTGATCTTGACACTGGTGAGCCGATCCTGCTCCGCCTTAATCTAGATGTCTGAAAGCCCTGCGTGCAGTTCAAGGCCTCTGTATGGGGTGTAATCAACGAACAGAACGTCGCTAACTCTGCCGACCTGACAAGCGACAGTTTGCGATGACTTTTCCGAGCAAGCGTTTCATTGTAGCGTTAATACATCTGTACTGTACTTTACACTTTCATCCCTCCCAGACGGCCAGTCAATGCCGACACATTGTCAACCTCCCAAATGACCAGATTACCATCCACACCGCTGGTGCTGACCTTGGTGACTTGCTCGCCACTGTATTCGTACGGGCGAACACTGGTGATGGTGTTCTGATGCACAGTTGCCAATTTCGTGTCCTGAGAGCCGCTTCCAGTCTGGCCACGCGAGTCAGCGTCACGGAAGGTCGAGAACGCGGCCGAGTTGAGGCGGCCAACGCCTCCGGAGCGAGTGTTCGCAGCCTTCCCGGACGTGTTGTCGTCGAGACTGCCCACGTTCTGCCACCCGTCCTGCGATCCAGAGAAAACCAGGGGCTGGCAGTCGTGACCCGCAGCGACGATGCTGTTTTCTCCGGTCCAGGTCAGAGTCACCAGAGGGAGGGACGGCATCCGGATGCTGTACACAGCCGGTCCGCCCGGGTACGCGATGCTAATGGAGCTGTCGTGACCTGGCCAAAGTTGATTGAGGATTGCGTGAATGCGATGAAACGCGGATGAGAATCACCAGCAAAGGCCAGAACATCGCCCGACGGAGAAAAGGCAACGGTGTGGACCCAGCCCCCTGCCGGGCTCGCGTATTCGGCACAAACGGTGTTGAACGGCAGCTTAGATCCCCAGACAGTTGGAGCAGGTCTGCCGTACGGATGAGTTTTGGCCCGTTGACAGCATGCATCCTTGAATGACGGACCTCTCATCGACCTCTTTGATGTATGCAGAGAAAACACGAGCTTTCATATCGGCGCTGCCGGCGGCGAGAAGGACGTTATTGGGGTGCCAATCCACGGACAGGACAGTCGAACGAATGGGCTTCTTCAGCAGTTTCGAGACCCACCAGTTGTTCTCGGGATCAAACGAGCACACCGCGATGGCACTTGCAGCGCGCGCGCATCGTCAGATCCATTATGCGTGAGAGAAGAAGCCAGGAAGGCTCACCGTGCACCACTCGCAACGGCGAACTTGTCTTCCTTGGGGCTCCATCGCACATACGTCGCTGCGCGGTTGATGCGAAGCAGCACCAAGGTCGGCTTCCAGATGAGCTTTCCTGTCGCAGAATCCTGCGCCTGCTGCCATACATAGGCGTTCCGATCCTGCGACGCGGTGACGATGCGGTTCGAGCTCGGAGCCCAATCGATTGAGGTGATGATCTTGTCGTGCTGCGATGCCCGACTCAATGACACTCCATGTGATTCTCGGGAGACTGACCTCGGCGAGCGTCTCGGTGGAAGTCCATCCCGTGCCTTGGCGCGTGAATATCTGTGCCTCGTTGGAGTTGAGACTGACGGCAACCTCTGGACAACGATAAGTGTCATCTAGATGCACTTCAGTTCCATCACGGACGTGTGCGGTCGGCGCTGAATGCATGGGTCGTAATAGGCGTCTGAGCAAGGTTGAAAACTTCGGGAGCCATAGTTGCAATAGGACGAGCAGTCGACTACTGCGCGAAACAAGTATGAAGGTGAGGGGAGATAGATGACGTAAGTAAGTGTCTGCCCCGCAGTCGATTTCAAGTCTGGTCTCAATTTCACAGAGAATAAATAAAAATAAAAAGCTCACGGGCCGGAGCAATACATCCATATTTAATTCAATACATTCAAATTTATTTCACGAACTGATCCTAAACCGTTGTCTCCGCTATCATCGTCGAGCCCGAAGCACTTTTGGCTTTCCACGTCCCGATTTCGGTAGAATCCGACTCTGTGGTGACAGTCCTCTTGCCCATTCCCACACGCACCACAATGAGGGTAGGGGCGATGTTCTAGGACGAGTGAGAACGCAAGCGGGCATCGGGCCAAGTATTTACCAAGATCTGAGCCAAGCCACCGCGGAAGACTCTCCAAACAGTGGGGGAAACATTAGTCGACCGCATGATGACGTAGATGATAGTCCACAGGCAGACAATCCCACCGGACTCAATCCTATCCGCATATAAACAGGCGGGTCGCTGGAAGTGGGCCGGACTTACACCATAGCCGTCGCTGAGTTGTATCGGCGCACGATATCGGCCTTGAGACCGAGCCTGCTGGCGTGAACGCGGGTGTACCAGATGCGACCAGCTAGATGTAGGCATGGATGAGGGAGATGCGACGAGGAAAGCGGATTGCGCACCGGTCAGGCCAACGAGGACGATGTTCGTCAGCACACTCAGCGCGAATCCGATGCGGGGATCGACGGACGGCCCCCCGATACCAGGGTAATCGCCCTCATATGCGGCAATGTAACTGAGAACTGCGGAAAGATATTAAAAGGCGCGGCAGTCCGTGAGAGTTGAGGCGCACTCGTGCTGAGCAGCAGCATAACAGCGGGAGCGGCGATGGCATAGTAATTGTGTCCCCACTGTAGGCAAGGTCAGTCTGGGCCCACTGCAACGAAACCAAATCGAACTGACAATCAGAAAGCAGCGATAGATCTTTGCGCGAATGAATAAGTTTCGACGCGCAGAAACAGCAACAAAAGTAGCTTACAAGTAATCCATCAGTGACGATGCTACAGTTCGCATCTCCAATCAGCAACCTGGAACAGACATACGCGGAGGCTTGCACATACTTGTTGGTCACCAGCAGGATATCCTCTGCAAAGTTGAATGCGAGGTTACGCGCGAGAGCATCCGTGGGTGGGACCCGCCCTTGGACTGCGAGATAGAGCGCGCGAATAGATTGGGTGCAAGCAAGGATCCGCGCCAAGAGCTGCGAGGTGGCCAGCACGAACATGAGCAGCGTAGCGAGCTTGAGGACGAGACCGCTGATGCCGGCTTGGCGTCGGTGGATGAGGTTGACCGAAAACGACGCCAGGACTAGGAAAATGCCTGACGTCTCGATATCAGAGCCATGTGTCATGGCCAACGAGAAAGGAGATCTCACCGTAGAAGAGCAGCTCAGACTGGGACGGCAATGCTCAATTTTCATGTAACAGACGGTACATCCTCCAAACACGCACCATCGTCGCCGTTATCTCCCCCATAGCAGCATCCGGCGTCCCATCCCAAAGCTTTGCAAACAGTGTCGCCGAAACAGTGTAGTCCATGATAAAGAAAGGCTAACACGCGACCAGGCGCTGAGAAACAGAGGAGAAGGGAAGAGAGGTGGTGGTGGGAGCCAGAAAGAGAAATGAAATATTGCCGTGCCTCGCAGTAGCCACATCTGGATTTGATTAGATGCTTAGACGGCCCTGAAATTCGGATGCTCTCAGTCGACACAGGTCGATATGCATCGCCAAGTCGCGGCAATTGAGCACCGCAGCGCAGACGAAACACTGAAGAGTATCTGGGTGGAGCTGGTGGGTCTGTCCCCGCCTTCCCGGTCGCAGAAAGCCATGCCAGGCATCAGTTTCAAGATGAATGTAATGTTGCCAGGAGGCAGAGTCATTATCCAATCGCTATGACGTATAAAGTTGAGGATCTGCAGGAAGTTTTAGCATCAACTGCGGAGACACACATCCAGTATCATCCGACGCCACGCCAACGGAACCAGTTCAAGACGTGTAATTTACCGTACATAGACAAGTACATTGATTTGATTAGGCGCAAAAAGGAGAACGAAATCGAACGAAAAGAAACGTCCTCGTCAAGAGGCCGTTCCGGGGACACTCAGATATGCGGCAGGCAGCGGAGGAACGGGCGGCACCGCATCGGCACCCTCCGCACTCAGATCATTCACAGGCATAGTCCTCCTCCTCCTCGGTAGCGGACGCGCTTCAGCAGATCCGGGCATCGGGAAGAAGTACGGCGCCTGGTACGGCTGCGTCCGAAGGGTCTGGGATCGCTTGGGTACGAGCGCAGGCCGGGGAGGTGACGAGTCGGACGAGGACTCGTTGGAGGTCCTTGCCGACGGCTCGTGCTCGGAGGCGGCGGTATCCATCGCAATGTGCGAGCGTCTTCGGGGGAGGAATGGCGCGAAGACCTGCGACTTCGACCGGGCCGGCGGCGTTGATCTCCGCCCTTCCGCATGTTCTGCAGCGTCGATCGTCAGCGCGCAACAGCAACGCAAAAAGCTCATTCTGTGGTACCTTTGGGGCCAGCACCGGGCATGCTGGGTGATCTTCGCACCTTCTTCTCTGCTCCCGCTCCCGAGTCGCTCATGCGAGCTGTGCCGGCTGCAGATCGGTCGACGGATTTGCGTCTTGTGACAGGGGCGGAAGAATCATGGGTCGAAGCCCAGGGTGCAGGGGACGTGGGTGTAGAATCAGATCGCCGTCGGCCAGTGCGACGAGCAGCCTTGCTGGTCGTCCGCTGACACTCGTCTTTCCCCTGCCCAGACTGGTCATCGGGAGTAGTCGAGGATCCCGACTCGCTTGAGCTGCCATTCGAAGCACCTGACAGTGTCGTTTCGAGATCTTTCGGCGTACTACGAGAGTCAGTCGCCGGATGTTTCCTCCGTGCACTGGGCTTGCGGATCGGGTACGGATGAGACTGCGCATCCAGGACCGGGCGGTGGAAAAAGAGCAACATGCGAAGGAGCGTCGACAGGACGCTCTGAGGATAGGATGATCAGTTCGATCCCGATAGACGAGAAGAGATTGTGCGCACCAGCGTAAACCCCACCGAGGCGATGATGAAACCAGCCGAAGTCAAAAACGTTCCTCGAGAGCGAATGTCCATCGTGCGTTAGTATGTGAGGGCCGGGACTCGACTGTCAAAGCCAGAAGTAGGGAGGTCCAACCCCATCTTCCCGGACTGCATATATAGCGCAGCCGCTGATCAGTTTCGCATTGGTATCAAATTACTGCGTGATCTTGTCGTCAACGCAGCGGCTGTCCGATGTCAGCTCCGAGGCTGTTGCTGTTACTGCTGATGTCCGCGATGCCGTATAAGTGCGTATTGAGAGTGAATCAGACCAAGTTTAGAGTTGGACGATACTAGGAAATGACGGCTAGGCCGGACATGAACGCAGCGGGGCTCAACAATTGAGGCTCGCAAAGAAGAGGTCGGTGATATCCGAAGGAGAAGGAACAGAGATGCGCCGAACAGCGACAGGAACAGCATGCTCTGCGTTCAATCGACTGGGGTGCCATGACATGATGGCTCATGATGGTCATGGTTGAAAGTTCCTAAAACCATGAATGACCGCGGCCGTCACGTTGTGACAAGCGCGTCAACGAGCATGACGTCGTTGATACTGCGATGGTTTTCTTCTGACAGACTCTACGCTGTAAACTTGGGCGCGCAAAGCGTTCAACGAAGGTTCCACTCTCAACGGCTCATCTCGGACGCCACATATGGACGGAGTATGGATATGTGATCATAATCTATCCAACACGGCGCACTATCTCCTCTCCATCGCATTCTCAAACCCTCGAATGCTCCGTGTTGCACAGCGGTCGCATTAATTCTCCGCTTTGAGAATCAACGTGTTCTGGTCTGAAGCGTTCGGGCCTCTATTCGAACTCTAGATTCGGCTGTGGATTCGCAGGGTGGAGCGCCCAATGAACAACAGAGATGGTATATGGAAACCCATGTACATATTGAACCACTGATGGTAGACTTCTAAAGCTCTTTGGTCACTAGACGGGCTCCAAAACGATCCTGTGCTCCGACTACTATTGCTCTAGGATCGCATGGCGTTCTGGGTAGATCTATTCTGCGCCCGGGAGCTTTTTTGCGCCGGAATGACACGCATGCATTCCGTCGCCCGTGTCCTGTCTGTGACGATTAGGCAACTTGGCTCATCCATACAGTTCTCCTCTGTGGTCCTGGACCTATCTCAACGACGCAAAAGCTGGCGATAAGCAACCAACAGCAGATCTGGAGAATTTTGGGCTCATCTTACGACATGTCACACCGACTCCGATGAGTATGATAGCCTGCGGAATTTGTGAAGGCCATATGGCGGTTCCTTAGTCGAGAACCTCTTTTGAAATGGCGAGCACAAGACTCCTGCAAGCCTTGCTGTGTTCGCTCCGAGGAAAGATCCATAATTACGAGAAATGAGTTCATTGACTTATCACAGGTTCTGCTACACAATCAAACCCCGCGGTCCTTGACATACTTGTCGACTTCCTTCTTAAGGGTCTCCTTCTGCACCAGCGCCCGCTCCATGAGATCCTCGCAGCCATCCAGCTCGCGGCCCGCGCCGTCCCAGACGGCCTCCATCTCATTCAGGACTGCGAGCAGCTGGTTGGGCAGCCAGGTCACGATCGGGCTGCCTCCGGTCGCGGTGGGATGCAGCGTCTTCTTGAGGATGTACTCGCGCGTGAAACACCAGTGCCGCCACCGGAAGTCGCGTACCTGGTCCAGAATGCGCAGGTACGCCGCGGCGGACTCTGGGTGGGCGAGCGCGTAGTGCTTCAGGTTGAGCGCGCGCGAGCGGTCGTGGACGTACTCGAGGAACTGGCGGTGGTTCCCGGGCCGGTACGCTCGGAAGTCCTTCAGGATGGCGGTCAGCGGCGTGGACGGCATCGTGATCTGCAGCAGATTGTCGCAGAGCGGGATCATGCTGTCGTTGGCGCCGGACTCGCCGCGGAACGAGAAGGGCTCGGCCGAGACGCCTTCATAGATGACGCCGTTGGGGAACATGGACTGCGAGGTGATGCCGAAAATGAATGTGCGGAAGGAGGTGTACTCGGTCGCCTTGGACTTGCCCCACATCTCGTCCATGACTTTGTTGACCACGGACATTGCTCGCACAACTTCCTCGAGTCCCTCGACGAAGGAAGCGCGGTCGTCCGCAGCGCAGGAGTCGAGAGCGCTCATCACCCCGGCGACGAGCGGACCAGAGTTGCGGACCATGTCGATGTGGACTAGCACGAAACCAGCCTCGGAAGACATCGGGTCCAGTCCGCGCTCGAAAGCGCGGATGAGACGGAGATTGGAGTACTCGAGACCCTTGGTTGGATCGACGAGGTGGTAGTTGAACAACGCATAGGAGCCGGCATACTCCATGAACGGCTTGAAGCCAGCGCTGCACTCAGATCAGCATCCAGGTAGTGTTCAGAACCAAGGACTGACGCACATTTCCGCACATCGGGAGATGGGGATGGCAATGTTCTTGGGCAGGACCTCGCGCCCCAGCCCGTATTCACCGTCCTTGACGAACCGCAGGTGGCAAGGCTCGAGCAGATAAGCAGAAGCGAGGAAGGAGTAGTCCCTGTAGAGCGCGTTCTGCAGCGGCAGGTTGGCTGCATACTTCTCGACCGCCCACGTCAAATCGGGAAGCTCGTTCAGCACAGTCTCGCCGAGCATGCCGCGCGCGAGCAGTCCGGGCGAGCCATCGAGCGTCTGGATCGGCATGCGCGCCAGGATCGACTCGAGGGCGACGAACTCGACCGGCAGGTCGACGACTGGCTCCGCACGGGGCAGAAATCCGCGCGTGGTCGAGACCATGAACGCAGGAAGCGTGGTATCGTCAGGGCGGGTGTCGTTCAGCACAGTGAAGGTCTCAGAGGACATGGTGTTGTAGGTGATGTAATATGCGCATCCGATATTCGTGTGTGTTCTTATATACCTGCGAGACTCAAGACGATGGGCCTTGTTTTGGTAGGCCGGCTGACTGACTGGGAGGGCACGCGCGATAGAGGCCCGCTCCTCGGGCCAGGCCCGTGGGGGTCGGGCCTCTGGTGGCCCGAGTTCAACGGGCCTCCCCCGCTTGGCTTCTTGTTTCGCGAAGATAAGTACTCGAGAAATTGTCAAAGATTGATTGCAACACACGGGCGGATCCTGAATAAAAGGGGCCGTGAGTACTAGCCACACAGACGGAGACATTTGCGACCGATCACGAGTCTTTGTCTGAGACTCTGAGACAGTGCATGAACAGCTTGAAACAGGATGTGATAGGCGCATAAATAGTGGACTGAATCGCTTCAACCAAAAAGTCGGGATTACCATTCGAGACGTCTGTCATCATACAAGACTCGCCCACGTGATCGTGATCCATCTTGCCTGCGGCCAACCTGAACTTCGAATCAGCGCCGACCTGACAGTGTGACATGCTCAGAGCCCACGTCCTATGGCCCAGGTTACGTTCCACGACGCGGATACGACTGCCACATGCTCCCCAACGCAAATTCGGATCTTTCTCCGTGATCCTACCTGAAGAACCGTTCATCTACGGCGTGAAGCACCTGCAGCCGCGGCACGTCCCTGCCCACATCACCCGGCCCGCGTACGCCGGCGCCCCCGAGCAGCAGCGCCCGCCTGAGGACGAGGGTGGGAAACTGCAGCTCGGTGGGGATGCAGAGAGGCGGCTGAGAGCGGCGGCACGGCTCGCGCGCGACGTGCGCGTGTGTTCGCGGGCTCGCTTGTGAAGGTCCGTTGTCAGTCCTCGATCTGCATGTGGGATTTCGGCGGATGAATGGAATCTCGATAAGCCTGGCATCACGACGAACGCCATCGACGCGCGGGTGCACGAGTACATCCTCGCGCATTCGGCGTACCCGTCTCCGCTGCTGTATTCTGGGTTTCCGAATCATGCTGCACAAGGTGTGGAATATGCTATGTACACGGCAAACCGTCCTCAGGCTGACCCTGCGAATAGTGTCAACAACATCATTGCACACGGCATCCCTGACGAGTCAGCTCCAGTGTCTTCCGGGTGAAATGCACGCTGAGATCCACGCAGCCGGCCACTAGAAGATGGAGACCTGGTATCCATCGACATCACCGTCTACCTTAACGGGTATCACGGAGACACCGCGGAGACGTTCTTGGTCGGAGACGTGGTGAGGCGGGCGGCGTTCATTATGTCTTGCCCGCACCGCATTGAATGATGCCGCCTGACAGGATGAGCCCGGGAGGGAACTGGCGCGCCTGTCCAGCGCAGCCACAGATGCGGGCATCCGCGTCTGCGCGCCCGGACGAAGGTTCAGCGATATCGGCGCGGCGATCTACGAGTCTGTCCGCACACGGAGATTCCGTCTCCCCGCAATTCACAGGGCATGGGATCGGCACGGAGTTCCACCGCAAGCCGTGGATCATTCATGACAGTGCGTATACGGGTTCTACTTCGCATGAAATGGTTTTGCTGGATGGATTCCCCGCAGGGAACGGCGAGCCCGGGATTATGGAGCCAGGGCATTGCTTCACTATCGAGGTCGGTGTTGCTTCGTACGCAATTCGTCTTCCGTTTTCACACCTCCACAGCCGTGCATCGTCCAGGGCAAAGAGCCGACATGCTGGGTCTGGCCGGATGGATGGACCCGCGTCCGACTGAGGATTGTGCAAGGAGTTGTCAGACGGAGCATATGGTTCTCATTACTACCGATGGGGCGGAGGTTTTGACTAGATAGATTGGTCAACGAAGAGACCAGATAAAAGCTTCGACATCAGGATACACAGGTACGGATGGGAAGATGTCAAAAATTCCCGCTCGCCGATTTGAACGACTGACCTCGTCATTACTAGTGACGCGCTCTACCAACTGAGCTAAGAGGATGCTGTCCTCGACGGAAATCTGTTAGTATATTCCTCAGTGAATTCATGGGTCGAACTCGAGGTGTTGTTCTCATTCCGGAGTGCAGTGCACACGCGTC